TTATATTACAATTCAGTAAATGCTATTTTAATTCATGTAACACATTATTATAAAAATCATTTATACTATACATACTATTAAGAGGTAAACATAAATCATATTATGCATATTGTTTTAGTGAATAATTTAAACAAATACTTATGTTAAGATCATAGCATTTTTACTTAACAAATAACTTTTTTCCATAGAAAGTTGACATTTTGTATGTTGAATAATTATATTTGATTCAATCATTTTTAAACATATGCATGTTCACTGAATTGTTCCTATTTAATTTTTTTAATACTATAACCAAAAATTTGTTTGGTAAACAATACAATATTTAGAAATTAAAGATGATACTTTTAGTGGTACATTATATATTTCACACTTATGAAATATCATATATTTTATTTAAGAAATCTTAAAATAATTTTTTTTTCACACTTATGAAATATCATATATTTTATTTAAGAAATCTTAAAATAATTTTTTCTCTTACATTTTAAAACTGCCTTTAAAATAATCAAATCGAAACCTAACATCATATGTAGATTAATTAAGAATAATATAATTAAGAATAAATTATTATATAAAATATATTAATTTGTGTAGGTAATGTTTTGTATGTGTAAGAACTTAAAGATATAATTAAGAATCAAAAGTAAAATATAATAATTAAAAGTTGTAACTTCCTAACATGAATAAGAAAATTACATTAATAACCTTAACATTTATCTTTTTATGAAGATATTTTTGGCAATCCAAAAGTTTCAAGAAACAACTCATACTTTTAAGGGAGTTATAGATAGATAGATAGATTATAGATATAGATTATAGATTATAGATTTGATCATTCAGGGCTTTAAGTAGAATATACAATTATAGCTAATTAATTTGGCAAAATGAAAGTGTTATCAAGTATTAAAAACCTGGGGGCCTCCTTGTTATGCATAAGAGAGCACTCTACTTTAGGCCGACCCATTAATCTAAAGAAGAATGAAGATTAGGCCTGCTGATAATTGGGCCCAAGAGTGAGAAAGAAAGCCCAAAAAACTCCATCGTCGAGGCTTTGCCGATCCACATTCGTACTAGGATGGCAATCTCTACTTGATCCGCTTGAGTGAGGGGCACCTACGGTGCATTTTTAAACAGCACCTACGGTGCTCCCTCCCCCACTCTCGGATCATGTTACTTAACATGATCCAAGAGTGGGGGAGGGGGCACCGTAGGTGCTGTCACCGTAGGCGCCCCTCGCCAGATCCGCTTTCATACCAAGACACCCATCCATGTTCTTTCCTTACACAACAATGACAATCTCTCTACTATATAAACAAAAACACAAACACAAATAACATATAAAATTTAATTTGCATCCACTAAGTCATGATAACTCTAGCTTGTTGACGCAACGGACGGACGTCAACACAAACACAAATAACATATAAAATTTAATTTGCATCCATATTCGCACATGACATCTAAATTAAATTTAAACACTGAAAACACACACGTACACCTACACTATAATAGAATACTACCTCTCCAACTTCACACAAAGAGTTCGCAACAACTATTACAATCAGCAAACGAACCAAAACTCGCAACTTCACACAAACAACCCGCAACAACTATACCACAATCAGCAAACGAACCAAAACCCGCAACAGCGCAACTTCACACTAACAGTCCGCACCAACTACCACAATCAGCAAACGAACCAAAACCCGCAACAATCAAACCCACGAACAAAAAATTGTCTGTCTTTCCTAATGGCTAATTAATGGTGCAAGAAAACATCTATTTTACACGTGCGGGAGTACGTACTAAAATGAATAGCACGCAAGATTCATGCAAGGAGATTCCAACTCGTACGTGCTGTTTATGGTGATAAAAACCCCATTGCAACAAATTGGTGTGGGCCCAACTCTAAAGATTCTTTACTGATCGTTGTGCCAAGAATCTTTCCTTATTTTTTTCTCCCAAAAGCCTAATTTTTTTTTTTATTTTTTTTTCAAGAATCTGCTAGAAGATTGAATTGACCACTCTTAGATACTTTTTTTTTTAATACGATATTTCAACGATTTTAATTCCGGATTAGTCGGTTCCCCTGTGGATCCGAAAACCGAAAGGTGCCTGTACAAAAAAAAAAAAAATTCTCTTTCGAAAAAAGGGAATTTCTTGAACCAGCTGCATATGGTCCTCACCTCAGCCATACAACGCGTTCAACAGATTCCCAATATATTCCCCAAATGTTACACTAATCTTTTGACCAAAATATATACATATAATCTCAAATTTTTGTGTGAGACGGTTTGACCGTTATGCAGATTGACCAGTCAAACTTTTTTTTTTCTTTTTTTTTTATCTCAATAATATATAATTATATTATGAAATGCCATACTTTTAGTTTGTTTATTACGACATTCCGGTTAGAAAGTAGGTATTATGTTGCTTTTTAAAGTTCGACATTTCAGTTCCAACGTAAGTATATTTATGTTGAAAAAATATGATTGTCTAACGGTTAGGTTTGATGCATAACATATATTTAACATATATATATGTGTATATATTAGGGTTTCTTTTGGAGGATTATTCGGTGATTCTTCATATCGATCGGGAGATTACGAATGCTCCAGTCGAGAAGAATTTATTCAATAAGTGATATATCAGTGATTTCTATGGCTGTGTTCAACTTGTGTGTTTGTGGGGATCACAATTTCTTCTCAAGTATCTTTTTTTTTTCTTTTTTTTAATCTGATAGAAAGTGACTTTTCAAAGTTTGTTTGGCATCTAAGAAGACAAAAACACACCATCTTTTGAAATGTTCTTAATTTATTTTATTTATTATTAATTAATTTACTGAATATTTGATTATAAATAGGGTTCTAAAACATCACAAAATTTCATGCAAGTTTGTACACCTTCCACCACTCCTTATTTCTCTTGCCCATAGAGAAAACCTAGTGAATTGAAACTTCTTTCTTTGTGGGCACAATATACAAAATATATATATATATAATCCATCAAAAACAGAGGTTTTTTTTTGTTTGGATATTATATTATTAATTGTTTCCCAAAACAAAAATAAAAAAAAAATGGATAAAATAGTAAAACTTGCATCAGAAAATGGGATTTTAATCTTCAGCAAGAGCTCGTGCTGCCTGTGCTACACGGTTCAGATATTGTTCCAAGAGCTCGGGGCGCGTGCTCGTGTTTACGAACTCGACCACGAACCAGACGGCACGGAAATCGAGAAGGCCCTCGCGAGAATGGGCTGCAAAGGCCCGGTGCCAGCCGTCTTCATAGCCGGGAAGCTCGTGGGGTCCACCAATGAGGTCATGTCGCTACACCTCAGTGGCTCCCTCATGTCCATGCTCAGGCCCTTTCAGCAGCCAAACATGTAGTGATAATGTGGTGATGATAATCTTGAATTGAATAGATATAAATTAAGGCATATATATGTGTGTATATGCTGATAAAGAAGTTTCAAATTAAACTACTTATAATATAATTTGTGTTTATTAATATGTATGTACTAGGAGTATCGGAAGAATGTTGTTCTAGCTACTACTTGTGTGTCTTTCTTAAATGAAATGAACTTCGTCTTACTATATTTATTTAAGATTTTCATTAATTAGTTGAAAAAAACATTTTTTATATCGGTTAAAAATCATGTTCGCATCTATTAATACCCGTTTTTGCTAAATTTTGTCATGTCGGTTCGTAGAAAACCGATGTAATAGATTACTTTTAACATTGGTTTTTTATGAAAACCGATATGGTTTTCCATCTCCTAGTTTACTATAGTACTGTTGTAAGATGCATCATTAGTTGGAAAAGACTAATTCGATTATATTGTGCCTGTAAACGTTGAAGTCCGAATGTCGTTGCAACTAAATCGTGCCAGCAAACGTATTTGTTATAAGTTTATTGCAATATTGAAGTCGTTGCTACAAATACAATAATAAGACCATGTCCAACCCTGCGGCACATTGCATATTTTTCGCTCGAAGTGAAGAAAAAATCATCTCTAGTGCTGGGCTAAATTGTCACGCCACAATAGAAAAATACTGTGTTACGTCAGTTCTAGTGCAGCGTTGTTCCTCTGCCACATTATTTTTCTTTTTTAATGTAATACTTGATGTAATTTTTATGCGTTTTTCTTATATATATATATATATTAATGTAATAATTTTTATGCTTTTTTTCTTATATATATTTATGTAATTTTTATGTATTAACTATACTTTTTGGTTGAAGTTTGATGCTTATTTTCTGTTTCTTTTTATGATGTTCACGACTGGAATCGGTCAACGGTTAAATTTGTATTTGAAGTGGATAAACATGAGAACGAAGGATGATTAATGGAAGATTTACAAAAGAAATGAGCTTTTATTACTTAATTACGAGATCAGACTCTCAGGATGAGGTCGGCTCTTTACTTAGTTATAGTTGGGAATAATTACGAATGTTGTTTACACTGTTCACAGAATAAATGTAGAGAGAGAGAGAGAGAGAGAGAGAGAGAGAGAGAGAGAGAGAGAGAGAGAGTTGATAGAGAGATCAACAACCCTCAGTAAATGAGGGTGAGCTCCTATTTATAGTAACTTGAGTCTGGTAGTGTTCATCATGTCACTTTGTACAGTAACTTAGAAATGACAGGCCGGTGCCGTTCTGACAAGATTAAATGAGGTCTGAGGTTTTTCAATGATTACCTGCCAGACATTAAATGCACATATGGAGAGCATTTAGTGTTGACAGGTCGCCCTATTGACCTAGGTACGGTGGAATATCATACTAGGGTGGGGCGTCTCATCAGCAATCATCACTTGACAAGTGACAATATTATATGATTTTCGGACTCTGGATGCGTGAGGGGGCCAATTTGGCCGAATCCTCAGGTCATCCTCTCCACGACTTG